AAAAGAGATACAAAAAGGGAGAGAGAGAGAGAGAGATAAATGACAAGAGGAAACTATAGTTCAAGTAATCTATCCTGTCTCTCTTTCTCTCTCTTACTCTCTTGTTTTCACTAAACCAACAAATACCAGCTGTTCCATGTTGGAAAAACGGTGAATCACTACTTGAATACTCTCAAACGTAATTCTGGTTTCATAAATTTTAAATGGAAATCTTATCATTCGTGATATTTTCTCATGATCAATTTTATAATTCCAAAAAATCATTGGACGATGAATTTTTACGATTTTTAAAGAAAATATTATAATATCTTGTAAGGATACGAATATTGTTTTTTTTTGTTTTTTTTTAATTAAGTTTTGTTTTATTTTCTAGTACTTAAATTCTTTTATTTTTTTAATCAAAATTTAATGATGAAACATAATTTGCTTTTTTTTTTCTTTTTCTCTATATAATAAAGTTATACATTACTACAAAATTTTAAATAGTAATAATATTATTTTAGTAATATTATTTATAATAATATTAATTAGTAATAATATTATTATTAGTAGTAATATTATTATTAATATTATTATTATAAAATAATTTTATTCTGCTTCACAAATTATGTGTGTCACATTATATTTAAATATTATTTTATAGAGAATGATTCATATTAAAATTTATATTTAATAATTTTTAAATAATTCGGATATGATTTTAATTATTTCTGGAAAAAAAAACAACAAAAACAAATAAAATAATGTTATATATTATTTTATATTTAATACACTATAGATTATAGAAATTCTTGAAATTATTTTTAATATTTGCTTCTTTTTATCCTTTTTTTTTTTTTGTTCTAAATTATGAACGGTTATTTCAACGTGACAAAACGACACACTAACGCATAAGATGTTTCCAATGTTACCGAATAAAAAAAAAACGCTTAGTCATATGTAAATGTAAATAATTCAAGAGAAAAAGTGTTTCAATTTGTTGAAGGAACGAACAAGCATGGAAAATCTATTAAATCACGTTATTTGTCGTAGTCTATCATTCTGTTCTCTTTTTAAGAGAAAGAGAACAAGACAACAAAAAAGAAGAAACCTATGTCCTACCGGTATAGGTACATACATATGCATATGTATTATGAATAAATACTTTACATAAATGTATATATATGTATTTACATATACATATATATACTGTAAACGTAGGTGTACAAATAACGTCACGCATACTTTCTAATCACATGTACTGTCATTCGATTAACAATCATTTCAGAAGCCGGAAAATCTATAATTATTATTATTATTATTATTGTGAATCTCGTTATCTTGTTAGAAACATCTAATCGAAGTTACGTTGAAATTTTCGATTAGTTAGGCTTTCTATTAGACGTTATACATTTATACATAAACATTGTATATATATATATATATATATATATATACATTATGTATATATTGTATATAATAACAATTATATAAAAAAAATCTGTAGATTAAAAATTAATATTCGTTTTCTTACAATTACAGGATATAATATATATATATATATATTTAGAAATAGAAAATATTATACATTATATAATATCATACATATTATATATATATATTTAGAAATAGAAAATATTATACAGTTATATAATATTTTATAAAAAAATAATTATATAAAAAATATTATAATTATATAATTTATAAAATATATATATAAATTTTATAATATAAACTATATAAAAAAAATGTATATAATATATAAATTATATAATATATAATTTAAAAAAAATATTAATATATAAAATATTATATATTATATTTTTTAATTGTAAGAAAACGAATATTATTTTTTAATCTACAAATTTTGCTTATATAATTTTTATTTTTTAATCTACAAATTTTTTGTATATAATTTTTGTTTTATAATCTACAGATTTCTTTTATATAATTTTTATTTTGTAATATACAGATTTCTTTTAAATATAATTTTTGTTTTTTAATCTACAGACTTTTATTAAATATATTTTTCATTTTTTAATCTACAGATTTTTTGTATATAATTATTATTATTTAATATACGTAATATTTATTTAGTTATTTATTTCAACATATATATGTGTAAGTTTAAAACACTTAAATGTGACTCATTCTCTGTGAACACGACTGTATCTCTCTCTTTTTCTATATTTATTGAAGCTTCGTGTCTTTTCTAAAAATACATACAACACTTATACATACATGTATGCATACATGAATACATATATCGTTGTCTTTGTCCTCCCCTGTCGGGTGACATTCGACCTCGCATATAGTAAAATCTCTCGTACTCTTTCGGATACATTTTCATATCAAATTTTTCTTATTTCCAAAAAATTGTCTCGACCAACCAGGAGTCGTGAAAATTTGTCGAATACGTTTAAGAATTTTATCGTAAAATAAAATTAATATATTATAACAGAAGAGAAAAATTAATTCTGACTCAATCGGATTTAAGATGATTAAATAATAAAAAAAAAAAGAATAAAAAAAGGAAAAAAGGAGAAAAAAAAAATTAAACGATTTCGTTCTAGTAATAATGATTCATACGAATCTATAACGTCATACTATCTTACATTGTTTTACATGAGACAGACTTATGTGAGTAAAAGTATGATAATCGTGAGAATTACTGAAAGCAAATTTTTAGTTTTAAATTTAAATCAATTTTTTTAATTTTTTTAATCAAAATTAATGAATAATCGAAATATAAACGAAAAATGTAACAAATTCTTATTTTTATTTCATATGGTTTTCTTTTTGTTTTTCATTTATTAAGGGTTTATTAATTTTAATTGTTTAAGGGTTAATCTTTCAAATTTTTAAAAAGCGTTCTTACTTTATATGCGTTATTTAATTAATCAAAGTACATTATTTTTTCAATAAATTTAAGTATTGAAGAAGCATAGGGAATTATACAAAAAAATGTTAATATTATGAGAGGGAGACCATATAAACTAAACTATAACTGTTGTTTCATAATACATCGTACAAAGAGACAATAAGTTTTTGATTTAAAAACGTAAAAGGAAAGTAAAATCGTTACTTCCTCGTCTTTAAACAGTTAAACTAATGAATCGTACGGTAAAAGATTCTTCGATGGTAATTAAATTCTAATCACGATGGTTATTAAAATGTTAGTCATTGATCGAATTCTTAGTAAATATTTCTTATATTAAATCCTATCATAGTTAATATTGGATTATTTTTTGAGATTGCGTGTAGATAAATATTGATGATACGCGTTATGGTATGTCATAGAAAAAAAAAATAGTTTTGTTGTAATGGGAAATAAGAAAAAAAAAATAAATAAAGGAAAAGACATCCAAGGAGTGTCCGCGTATTTCTTTCGTGATTCATAACGAAAGGACGAACATAAAAATCTACTAAAAAAAAAAAAAAAAAAACAAAGACATCATACTTTTGTACAAGTGAATTTTATTTTATTTTTTTTTTTATTTAAATATATAATTATACAATTTTTACTTATTATTTTAATCAAATTGAATAAATTATTCAATTTTAATATAATATTAATAATTAAATTAAAATAAATTATTAAATTAAATAATTACATTAAATTAAAATATGATAGTAAATATATTTTTTATTATATTTTATATAAATTTATTATTTATATAATATATTTAATAATTTATTTATTAATTATATTATTATATTATATTATATATTTATTATATTATATTATTTTATATATTATAATATTATATATTACATTATTATTATATATAATATAATATATTATATATATATATATATATTACTTATACTAAATCATTATATTATATATATCACTATATTATGCTATATGTTATATTGTATTATGTTATATATATACATCACTATTACTTTATATACACATTATTATATTATATTATATATATATAACTCAAATATATATTCGATCTTTCATCGACATATTTGATATGTGTTGACATTTCACTATGCAAAACATAAAAAATAAAAATTCCTATTTTACAATAATCAGACACGTTTTTATAAATGAAAATATCTTATAAAAATAATTGCGGTCATATTATATAAAGGAAACATAATATTTGAATTCTCTTTAAAAAGAAATGATTTCTACAAATCTTTTGTAACTTTACAAATTGAAATTTCATCAAGATAAACTCTTTATTCTTTTAAAATGTACACTTACTTACATATGTCAGAGACTAACTAAACTAAATCCAACAAAACCGGGCATTGAATTCACCGCACGGCTTCCGATCACGGAAACAGCTGCATATAAGTAGAAACTTTTGTACTCTCTACCTGTACGTCATTCTGTCGATCGAACAAAACGAATAAATCTCATTCTCTTGTATTATTACATTGATTTTCTAACCTTCTATCCAAATTGTATTTTATATTATTATTATTATTTTTATTTTTTCTTGTTCTTTTTCAACGTCCTTTTCATTTTATATATTTTATTATTTTATATAGTTTATATAGTATATATATATTCATGTACGTTATTTTATCTATTCTTTTTCTTCTTCTTTTTTTTAAACAAAAGAAAATTATTTTTAACACATTTTGCATACAACTATTTTTCGATCATTTTATATGGGTCATATACGACCCACAAATGTAATAATAATTTGATAATTTCAAATGATCAAATTTCAAATAAAGTTAACACGAAAGGTATTGAATATTATATTATCTTTGAGATAATATTTGCTATAAAACAAATTGAAAATAGAAATCGATTGAACAGAACGTTGTTTAGATTAAATTTTGACACTCAAATAAAATCGAATGAATTTAAACTCGTTATACAATCAATTTGACGTAAAACTCTACTCTATTTTCCTTTTTCTTTTTTTTTTTTTTTTAAAAGAAGAAGAAGAAGAAGTAGAAAAAATCCATAAAAGTGATAACTAAGTTTACAAAAAGATTACACTAATGTGTAAAGTAAAGAAATAAGTAAAGATATTTCGATCACTTACCATGTTGACAAGTTAACTTGAATAGTCCTTGAAAAAATGTCACGCGTGTTTCTGCGAAGAATAGAAAATACTTTCTCTCCTCCGTGTATAAATGAAAAAATGAAAAAAAAAAAAACTAACTGCTTTTCTTCTTCCTTCTTGATTACATTCAAAATAATTCCAAGATGAAAAAATCAGATCCGAATAAAAATCTTATCAGATTAACACAAGATATATATATATGTATATATATATATATATATACATATATATATATAAAGTTTAATAGCAAAGATCCGTCGAGTTAATTCGACCGTCGAACTCACTGATACACGTGCAGACAATAGCTAGGTACGTATACCTATACATATCTAAATATATATGTGTGTGTAGTTAAGTTATATATACATGTATAATATATATGTATATATGTAACACGAAAGGGACAACGCACTGAAGAGGAGAACATGTAGGAGAAGACAAAAAAAAAAGAAAGGAAGATGTGTATAGAAGGTAACGTGAGCGCACGCGTGCGCTACCGTCAGCGCAAAGAAAAAAACCGCGAAACGATCCTTCTCCCACTATAGTTCGTTGCGCACTGATCGTATAAGACAACACAATACCGCTCAACGCGATACTACCGCTGATGACGGGTCACGCACGAACTAAACGCACCGCCAATTGGAACGTCATGATATGTGACGTCATTATTCTACAACTTATTTTTTTTTTAATTTTTTTAGTCGAAATCATAGATCAGTGCAATCATTTTTTAAATAGCAATTTTTTAGTTTCCTTTATTTTGTTGTTTGTTAAATATCATAAATATAAAATTTGTATCGAGTATACTCTAATTATATCGATTTTTAAATATCTATTTAATTTTTTTGGAAATAAAACATTTTATGTTTTAATTATTTAATCATACTATCGTAAAAACTAATTACGTACGAGAAATGTACGAAATTGCTTCAGTGTTTTTCCATTTTTCTTTATTTTAAACGAATATTTATGGATCGATATAAAATCACGGAATTCAAAATGGCGATTTCGATATAAAATTTCAATAATTTACGAAATTATTAGTTCGTTCTATTTTTTGTTTTGTTTTAAGTTAAAATTTGTTTTCTTTTTTCCAGGTAAGAGAGAAACGCGTTGCAGTTTACAGTAATTTTGGTGAAATCGTCAAAACACTTCCGCTTTAAGAAATATAATTGTTGTCCGACTAGCAGTGCAACTGGCTACCGTTAACGGTAATTATAACGATATCGTACAATGCATTTAAGTGACACACTAGAAACAAGTATGTATAACGGTGGTATCTCTTAATTAACGAGACTACTATAATAAAATGATGTTAAACATCACATTATTAAGAAAAATAACAATCGATATAACAATACCTGTTGTAAAAAAATATAAAAATAAATTATATATCAACCTATCAAAAAATTAAAAAAAATAAAAACAGAAAGGAAGAAGAACATAAGAAATAAGATAAGAAATATTTTCTAAGATAAGATGATTCATAAGATCAATTTTCTATATAATGTTAAACTAATCAATAAGATCGGTACATTTAATCGTAATTTTTTTTTTTAAACTAATATTCATATTATATTAAATTAATTTGTCTATTATATTATATTTATTATA